CGCGCCGCCCGCTCTGGCCTGGGTCTGGAGGAGCCGCCGCCGCCTCAGGCCGGGCGGTCCCGTCCCATTCCATTCCATCCCCTTCCATCCCGGTCCCGTCCCATTCCATTCCATCCTCTTCCATCCCCGTCCTGTCCCATTCCATCCCCTTCCATCCCCGTCCCATTCCGTCCCGTCCTAATCCATCCCATCTCATCCCGTCCCGTCCCATCCCGCCTTATCCTATCCCGTCCCCGTCCCGTCCCCGTCCCGTCCCGTCCGGGATGGCCGCGATCGCTCGGGCCCCCGCGGGCCGAGGGCAGGTGAGGCGCCGGTGCCTCAGCTCGGTCCGTTCCTGGGCACGTGTTCGGCCGTGAGGGGAGGGATCTGTACAACCCCCTTTCTGCAGCTCCCGGACAGGAGGGTGGACCCGGGGAGGGGGGTCGGGCTTTGCTCCCAGGGAAAAACAGCACAAGAGGAATCAGCCTCAAGCTGTGCGAGGGAAGGGTCAGGTTGGACATCAGGAGGAATTTTTTCCTGGAAAGGGTGGTCAGGCGTTGGAAGGGGCTGCCCAGCGAGGTTTGGAGTCCACACCACTAGAGGTGTCCAAGGAAGGACTGGACGTGGCACTCAGTGCTCTGGACTGGGGGACAAGGTGGGGGTCGGACCACGGGGGGACTCGGTGATCCGGGAGGGCTTTTCCAACCTCGGCGATTCTGGGGTTCTCGGCAGGGACACAGCAGGACCATCCCGGCCGGGCTCGGGGTGGTGGACACGGAGCTGGAGATGGCCGGGAGAGCCCCGTCGTGCCAGGGCAGGTTCCTGAAGGTGCGCGATGGAATGGCCGGGGGCAGCCGGCCGTGCCCGACGCCGGGAGGCACCGCCAGGGCAGGGAATGCGCAGGGAGCCCACACACGGTCCAGCTCAGTCCTGAGCAAAGTGGCTCAACTGGAAAGCAAGATCATGAGTCGGAAAAAGCAGCTGGAATCGCAGAACACTGACCCGGGCCTGAAGCCTCTGGGAGAAGAGTCCTCCTCCTCCTCTGCCTCAGGGCGTGAACACGGTGCCAGGGGCAAGAAGTACCTGAAGAATTCTGGTGCCACCAGGGAGAGCGGGACCCGCAGGGATGCCAGTTCTGAGGGAGAGGAAAGCATCCAAAGCCCTAAAAAGAGCGTTATGGTTAAAGAACAGCTGGATCTGGATAGTGATGGAGAGGAAATGACAAACTCCTTGGGGTTTTCCAGTGGAAATGGGAATCAGAAGGCTGTTCTGGATGGAAAGGTAAATACAAACTTTGCTGGATTATGTATTTTCATAAACACTTTTATTATTTTAATTGGTTGGTCACTTTTTATTTAGATAACAGCAGATACTAAATTTTAAATTTGCATTTGTGGCTTGCTCATGATAGGATTCAGCTTCATTTCTTAACATCTTAAAGCAACATCTCAAATTGCTCTTATTTTACCCATAGTGATTTGTGTTCCTTTTTAGCACTCTAAACATAATAATGAAGTAACACTTAAATCTGTTTTTCATGTTCTTCAAAAGAACAAGACTCCAGTTCCACCAGGAAGGCCTCCTCTGTCTCATAAGGAAATTGCACCAACAGAGTTACCTAAAGCATCTTCTTTTCACAACAAAGACTCACAGAAAAGTGTTTTTAGTAGAGTTAATTCACCAGCACCTTCCCCCACCAGCAGAAACCTGTCAGGACATACCACGAGCTCTTCCATGAAAGACAACACTGTAAAGATTGCTCTGCCTAAACCAGGCTACACCAAACAAAGCCAAGAATCCCTTGGAAGTGACAGAAGTGAAATAAAATCATTAGATGAATTATTCTCAAATGCAGATGATGCAGAAGATCCAACCAGCAGCAGCTCAGATGGTGAGTTTTCTAAAATACGGTCTCAAGAAGAGCTGGCATGAATTGTACTGATAATCTGATAAATTCACTAATAAACTGGGCAAATAATCACTTTGAAAGGATTCACTGATGAAATTTTACATAAACCAAGGCCTTATCAAAGTAATTATTTAGATCTGTTTCTTTTTTTCTGGTGTAATAGGTTTGTATTTTCCTTTGCTTTTGACTTAGGTTGGGTTCAGGTTAGTGCTGCTGCCCTGGGTGATGTTATGATATCAAAACTAGTACAATATTTAGAGTAGTTTTCATGTATCAATGGGACAAAGTACCAATGGATCAGAATGAGAACAGCTGGAAATGAGGGGCAGCAAAAATCTCTTGCACTTGAGGCAGCAGACCAAAGGAGGAAATTTAGGAGGAGTTTCTGCCAAATTAAAGATTTAGAGTGTTTGATTGCTATTACCTTTTAGTATTACACTTTAAACTAGGAAGGTAGTACTGATTTTTCCCCTCTTTTCTCATTTAAGGGGAAGTGTACTGTAACTTTCATGCAAATCCTCATGTCAATGTGTCATTTGATTGCAGACTTCAGACTGAATATCCTGAGCCTTGATGATTTGGCCCCAGATATCACCAGTGAGGCAGCAGAATTAAAGCAGAGTGTGAGTAGGAATTCCCTACTAACTCCTATTCCCAGTCTGCCTCTGTTGGGTGGAGGTTCTAAAATAAATCATTTTACAGGGGAAAGACATTGAAATGACTCAAGAATCAAACAAATATGTGATGGTGGAAGAGGATCAAGCTTCTCCTGAAACAACCAATGCAGCAACTGGTGTGAATGATGAGGATGCTGAAAAAAGTGTCACTGAAGCAGAAATCTCTGAGCATTTAAGTGGAGTTTCCACAGATCCCCCTGGACACAAACAGGATTATCTTGATCAGGATGAGAGGACTCTTAATTCAGAATATTCTGAAGACTTTGAAAGGTCTCTGTCTACAACAGACAGGGAGTCTGTGCCCAGGGTGTCAGAGGGACACTCTGGAGAACACCCGTCCTCAGGCTCGTCCCCCGTGGGGACCCGGGAGCAGCACAAAGGGGGGCACCCAGTGACTGTGAGGGACACTGGGGTTCAGACAGCAGAGCCCCCCTTCACCTACTGCTGGGCAAAGGGTGAGTGCAGAGCAACTTTTACACTTTTATATATGTCAGCCCCCTTATTCTTAGTTTCAGTCCCAGCTTCCCCTTGCTGGTGCTAAATTAAAAGCTTTCAAAGCCCAACACTTCAATCTGCTGCCCATAGAAAAGGTTGAGATTGAATGCCATGAGAACTTAGAACTGGTTTTTGCTTAAAAAAACCCCCACAGGACCCGTGGCTGGGTGAGTGTTGGTGACAAAGCTCACAATAGCACGAGTAATACTCTTCAGTGGAATTCAACACTCTGATATCTTTACTATTGTAAATAATAACTGTAGTGTTACTAAAGTGATTGCTCATCGTGGAGTTCTCCTTTTGCAGTGCTTTTCTCTCTTGGGAAAGCACTGTGGCCCCACGACAGGATCAGATGTGACCTTTCACATTCCCGAGGAGGAGCTCCCTGCCTGTGTCTTTATTTCAAGGAAAAAGTGCTGAGAGCCACTTCTTGCCCCACTCGAGGAGGAGAAAGTAGAAACTCAAGTGTGCTTGAAAACAGGAGCTTCTTTTGAGTACAAAAGTCCTTATTTTTACTCTGCCTAGGGTTAGAAAAGATGCCTTTTGCAGTGATAGGTGTTGTGAGTGGAAGAGTAAAGAAACCATGGGGGTTCTATAACTATTTCAGCATTTTTTTGGCTGACAGAATTCCCTGTTAGGCTCTACAGTGGTTTTAGGGCTGTTTTGGGGTTTTACAGGGTTTCTTGGGCAGCTGCTGTCCCAAGAGACTGTCTCAAGCTGTAGCACTAAACCTTTCCAGTCTCTCTCCCCTGATCCTGATGTTTCCTGACACACAGACCCCTCTGCAGTGCTCAGCCCACCTGTACGAACCAGCTACATCGACCCAGTGCCTGTTGCCACTCAAGTCATCAGCATGGATGCAGTAGAAGGTACTGAAAAACACCTTTACCCTTCTGTTATTGTTGTTTTCTGTACCTAAGCCATGCTTGGCTCGTTCAGCCCCTGCTGTGCCTCACCACAGCCCCTCCTGTGCCTCCCCCACAGCCCTGACTGCCTACAGCCCCTCTGTCCTCCTGCTACATTCCATGTGCAAACAGCACTTGATGCTGACCCAGCAGTTTGTTGAGAACGTTCAGCACCTTCACTCATCCCTCGTGGAGTCCTTAGAGCATGAGAAGTTCCACTACCACAGCCTGGAGGAGGCTAAGGAGGTATTTATGACAGACCAGACAGACTGAGCAGATACTCCTTTCCAGATGCTTCTGGTATTTGCAGCAAACCGAGTTTCTTTGCATATTATTAATTAATAAGTTGTGGTTTCTTACTGTACTAAGGCTAAAGTCTTGCTGGAGGCCATGGTTTTGAAAGATTAGGCTTTCTGCTGTAGCATTTGGCTGTCCCCAAACAAGCAGGGATCTTCCAAATGCTGCAGCAGAAGGGTCACTTTCTGTTGCTAGCACAGCAAAGTGCAGGTATCTTACAGGTATCTTGACATGGAGATTTATTATTTATTAAATACTAGAAAGTAATTATCTAGAAAGTAATTAATAAATAAAGAAATTTGTGTCTTAACTTTTTTTCTTTGCAGTACATCAAGAATCACAAATCCCCACCTCTAACACTTGAACAAGCCCTTGAAGAAATTCAGAGAGCACAGGAGGAGTAACTGCTTTGACTCTTTGAACTTTAACTTTTGTATTTACAGCTCTAAGGCTGGAACAAGAAACCTTTCCAACGTGCACAGATAAAAAGTCAATAAACTACATACTGGAGGGATTTGTACAAACTGCTACATTAGCATAAAGTACAAACTGCTAATTATGATATATCATTTACTTTTCTATACCTGAATTTTTTACTCATGTACATGATACAGGGATAGGCAGGAACCTTCAGCCAGATTATGTCAGTAAAAAAGAAGCCAACAAAACACTTCTCTCTAAAGGGACTGTGGTAAGTCAGCAGGGTGTGCATGTTTATCCTGTGGAGTGTGAGATCTGTGATCACATCTGTGATCGTGCTAGAAGTGAAAGTCTGTACTGCAGCCCCTGAGAAATATAACCCCAGCAGAATTACCATATCCTGACTTTAGTGCCATTATCTGAACAGTGTTTCTATATAATCAGCCTTGTCAGATTACAACACACCCAAACACACACCAAGTTAAAATAAATTCAAAGAAGGCTTCTAGTCAAGGTACAGGAATCCATTTACTCCGAAATCTGAGCTGCCATTTTATTTTTTTTTATTTTAAAAAAAAGTGTTTATTGGAAGGCAAAACAATAAACTTCACAAGTTGGTAACATACAGGTTGTTGTATGCTGATTCACAGACAGGTACAGTTCCACAGCTACAGTAGATCTAGAACAAACTGATATTCCACCATAGTAACTGGATGGTTTTAAGAGGGTTTTTGCTATACAAACAAACAACTGGAAAAGGGAACCACCACACAGACCTGGGGACTGGGAGTGCAGTGTAAGGGCCTAACAGCTCTAGCTGGTGGTCTCTGGAAACAGTTACAGAAAGTGTTGTTTCTTCCCTCATTTAGATCACAGGAAGTTTCCCAGAACGTCTCATTGATAGAAACTTAAAAGAGAGCGGAGAAAATGGATTCTCTTCTAGTGAACTAATTAGCTTTTATTATTAAAGGGTATGTACAAAAATATAAAAAGCTCCAAGTCTGTCTCCCGTTACAAAGCATTGCCCATCCCTCGAGAGCTGCCCCTCGTGTCCTGCCCAGAGGTGGCTGCAGCAGCTGCTGTGGGGCCTGGAGGTGGGTGGAAGGTTCTAAAAGCTTGCACAGTGCTCAAAGGTCACCTGCACTGGAACTAGATGCTTCATCCCCCATTTAGACATTAGGATACACTGCTCAGCATCAGTCTGACTTGATCCCAAGGCAGCACCCCTCCACTTCAAATAGAATTAACCTTTTGAGAGAAATAAACATACATTATGGAACTAGAGAACACACAACCACATCAGATCACGTCTGTATTCCACGGGAATGAACGGGGCACAATCCTGCACCGGGGGCACACTGACTGGGGCTTAGTTCTGGTATAAAATGGGGAACTAATTAAAAAATTTTGCAAGATAAATGGAAGTTTTTAAACTTGCTAGACATGTCGTGGTAACAGCTGGCCTTTTTTAAACACTAAATGACAAGTGTTGAAGTAACATGTCATAGCTTTCCATTTTTCACCATAGTTTTAAAAAGTAATTCATTTGTCACTTCCTCCAGACTTTAATCCGGATTTTTACAAGTTTAATGTTTTGTAGAAGATGCAAGACATCTTTCTTCAGAGAGTCTTATTCGGGTGGTGGAGGGTCTTGTGTTTCACGCTTCACTGAAACAATAGGGAAAAGAGTTCTTACACATTCCACAGTCACCTAAGCTGCCTGAAATGTTTCATGGAATGAGGGCTCTGTGATAAGGAACTTTTCCTTGTGGGCTTTACATGAACCCATCTGACTGCACAGACCTACTGCAGCCAGAGGCAGAAGTGACTTTTCACTGAGCATGCCAATTTTTTTCCTTTTAGCTGTTGGCAAGGGCAGTTTTTCGATGTATCACAGACTCTCTGCAAAAATCCATCATTTGGGTGATTGTCTTCATCTCTCACAAACACCTCCACTTTTTCTGAACCCTTCCTGCACTACAGGGAATTTATTACCAGTTCTGGCTTGGGCAGAATGTGGCAGTAAGGTAGGAAAGTCTGAGTAGGGGAGGGGTAACAGTAAGTGTGGTCTCAGTTCCAGCCACACGGATCTCCCTGCTGTGGCCCAGCTCCCCCTCCACTACCTTTGTCACTGCTCTGAGTTTTTGAGGGGTAACAATCAAAGCTGCAGGTGCTCAGTATTGCAGCCAGCAAGTGGCTTATGTAGAACAGGCTAATTAATTAATCTTTCAGAAATTAGAACACAACACAAGGCCTAGAACCAACACGCTGGGTCGATCAGAGTACACGTCCACTTACCTGATGTTTTACTGTATCTGTTACGTTAGAAAGAACTACGAGTTACTGATATTTTGATTTGGGTTGACAGTGGACAGTAAACAGGACAAAATCACTACCAAGGCCACACAGGTTTGTAAAGTGCTGAGAAGCATCACTTACATTCATCCCTGGCCTTCATGCGGGCGATAAACGAGTAACTCTTATTTCTTCGGTAGTTTTCGTAGGGATCGTCCAATGCAACTCCTACTCCTTTGTACTGATCCCATTTGTCTCGGATATCCCCTCCTTTAATTGGATCCTGGATTCCTTGTTCCTTGGCTCCCAGTCCACCAGATCCACTCCATCCTGCAGCAAGGACACATTGCAATCCTGTCACTATTTTTTTTATTACTAAGTTGTGAAGACAGACCAACGTGGAAATTTTGGAAACGACCAAAGACAGCGTCGGTTTGATGGGAACAGCAGGATGGGAACAGCCAGCCTGAAACAACTGTCCCATTTATTTCACAAGCATTAATATGCAAGAGATTCCAGGAGCTGACAGACAGCAGCTCTATCCCTAAAAACTTTTAGGAGGGCAAGAGGAAAGGCAGCACAAGCTCAATCTGTCTGGTCAACTCTGCTGACTTGCAGAGGAAGGTCAGTTCTGTCTGATGCCAAACTCACATCCCTGTCTTCCACATCCTTCCCAGAAAGGCGACCACCACTGCTCCATGTTCTAAATACTTGTATCACTGAATATCCTTATGCTGACCTTGGAATGCCATGGGGTAACTCCTTATGAACATGCCTTAATTATACCCAAGAATTCAGTGCCTGAATTTGTTTCCTGGCTTGTGTAAGATTCCAGAACAGCATCTTACCCATTTTCACTAGCATTTGATGGCCTTTGTTTTCTTCTCCAAGTCTTGATTCTGGTATAGGAGGCCCAGAACTGGAGCCCAAACCAGCAGAAGAACTAAGGAAATAAGAAGAACAAATTAAGAACCAGTGATACCATTCTGACACAATGCAAGGTCAGTTCTATTCTGTTAAGCTTCAACACCCAGCACCATCTCAGTCACTCTACTAAGGTATTCTTTAATAAAGCCATTGGATTATGGAGTTGCTAAGGTGCCTTCTGGCACGTGCTTCTCACACCTTTGACACCCCTCTGCTTCTCAGCACAGGGGAAATCAAACACTGCACTCTTCCCAAGGGAGTAGGTCATTCCTCCTCCTCCCAAGGAAGGTGTACAAAGCCTTCATAGTTACACACTGTTTTGTTGTAACAAACAGCCCCCACAACAGAGTAATGTTCTCTCTACAAGCACACACAGCAGACAAACTGTTTCTAAATCTGCTTTCCACCTTCCTCCCTGCTCTTTGTTGAAATGCTTATTAATTAGTGGGGGTATCCCCCGCTAATGAGGCAGTGCCCTTGCTGGGGCTCTGTTCCCAACAGCCCAGGGAAGAGGGGACAGGACTAAAGCCGAGCTTACGGAGGAGTGGGGCTGCGGGAGCGGGACCGGCGCCGCCGTCCCGGCGAGTACGACTTGGACCTGGAGCGGGAGCGGGAGCGCGAGCGGCTGTGGGAGGAGCGGGACCTGCTGCGGCTCCTGGAGGAGAGAGCACAGACATCAGAGCAACACCCCCCGTTCCTCGGCCAGCCCTGGGGGTGGGTTTGTCCCACCCCTCGTTCCCAAGGTTCAGCCCCACGCGCTGTACCTGGACTGCGAGCGGGAGTAGGAGCGGGAGCGGGAGCAGGAGCGGGAACGCGACCTCGAGTAGGAGCCGGAGGACTTCGAAGATCGGGAATTGGAGCGGGAGGAGGAACGACCTCGGCTTTTAGAGCGACTGCGAGACCGAGAGGGCCCACTGCACAGGGAAAAGGAGAGGAACCCCAGTGAAAACCCTGGGAGGGGCACCACAAACACAAACCTACTTCTGATCAGATTCAAATTACACACAAGCACTGCAGTTCTGCAGTGAAAACTGCAGTGTGTCAAAAACTACTTTATAGAACTGCAGAATGGTTGGGGTTGGAAGGGACCTTAAAGCCCCATCCAGTCCCACCCCTTGGCATGGGCAGGGACACCTTCCACTATTCCAGGCTGCTCCAAGCCCCATCCAACCTGGCCTTGGACACTTCCAGGGATGGGGCAGCCACAGCTTCTCTGGGCAACCTGTGCCAGTTCCATTTTCTGCAGGTTAGACAAAAATTCCAGCCCACTGAAACTCAGTTATCCCATGAACATGTTGCTGAAGGCTTTCCCTCTGCGTTTGGCTCAGATGAACAGCAGAAGGCAGCAGACAGGATCTCTCACCTATTTCTCTTCTCCTGACCTTTCCTCCGCCTCGCTCTCATTTTAGCTCTGAAGAATTCGTACAGTCCATTCTGCTCCCAGCCTTCACTGCAACAGACCAACCACACACAGAGCTGTAAATTCCATTTACACGGCTGTGAGTTCCAGTTCAACGGCGAGCTTCAGGATTTTCACTCAAGTTTGCATGGAACAAAGGGCCTGGGCAAAACAGCCTCCCCAATCTCAGTGTAAGATCAAACAGCAAGTGCAGTTACAACACAACAAGAGCATCAGGAGAACCAAGACACAGGTGAAGGAGAGAGAGGCACTTTGTGGTTTGAGACACCTTCTCAGGGCATTTTCCTTACCACATTGTTAGCTACACCTACTCTTACCTGTTTCTAGGCCTGTCATGAGATGGTGGACTATAAAATGCCTCAACCGCAGCCAGGAGTCTCTCACTGGGGGGCATTGGGGGTGGAAGACGTATATCTTTAGGATCTAAAGGTTTATACTCATGATCTTCAAGCTGCCGGAAACAAAACAAATTACATTCGTGTCACGTGTCATGGGGTGGCTACCTGAAGAGATAAATACAGGTTTAACTGTGTAGGGACCTCAAATTTCACTAATGGATTAGAAAAAATAGTCCAGAAATAAGGGTTCTGCAGGTGACCCAGTGCTTTCTGGTGCTGTCACTATTGTGAGTTCTATGAGAAAAGCCAGCACTGCACAGGTTGGAGCATTAAGTGGATCACCAGGTGGATAAAATGCAGATCTCATCCACCTTTGTGCTAAGGTGGCTGGATGGAAGCCTGGTGTATGCTGAGAGTAACACAAAGAGATGGAAGAGGCCTGTCTGTTCATCTCAAACACAAAATGCATAAATGTAAATATCCCCAAAGATGCTGATACAGGTACAATTCCTGCTCTCCATCATTCTTTGTGTATATAACAATTAATAAAACATCTTTGTGAGAATTCTGATTACCAAAGACTGCAACACAGTGACTACATCAGACCTGTGAGGTCGCTCTGACCACCCAAAAATCACTGGGGATTTCCACTTCCTAAAGACAGGGGCCAGATTTTCAAGTGCAAATTAGTCTTTCACATACATGAGCTCCACCAGCTTTCTCTGGCACAAAAACACTTGAAAACCATCACCATTTTCACCACCTTCTCACCCCACTCCCGTCCTTACACCCTCCACAACTTCGGCTACGGGGTTGTGGGATGGATGGATTTGGAATTATAACCATCCCACGGGATTTGGATGTTTTAATCCCATTGGAAACACTTACTTTGACAAGTGGAGCCATCAGCCCAGCAGGAAGGTCGAAGTAGGGGACGTTTGGCACCAGGCTGGGATCGTCGTGGTTCATGTGAGGGGGCCCTTGGCGCCGCATGTGGGGGGGCTGCCCGTTAAACCCATGGGGGGGAGGCCCAAAATCAGGGTGCTGGGGCCCTCCCCAGGGAGGGTGCTCGCTGATCCCAGGGTGAGGCAATCTGTGACCAGGATGATGATGAGGAGGTCCAATTTCTGCAGAGTGGGAGGGTTAAAATGTTTTATTCGGCTATCGAGAAAGGAAAGCAATCAGAGATGGGCTTCAATTAGTGCATTTATCCTAAAAAACAATCTTGGCAGATCCAGCAAAGCACCAGAACTGAAGGACTAATGACCCTGAGATGAGCTCAGCTGGTTAGAGCGTGGTGCCAATAACACCAAGGTTGTGGGTTTGATCCCTGTGTGGGCCATTCACTTAAGAGCTGGACTTGATGATCCTTGTGGGTCCCTTCCAACCCAGAATATTCTGTGATTCCATGACCAGAGGCTGGTACAGGTCCACACTCATGAGTACCTTGCAGTGCATCTCCCTCCACTCTCAAGACAAGAAGATCCTTCAGCCCTAAGCCACTGCTTCCTTTGGGACACGCTGTGGTCAAAAGTACCACAAGAAAGATGCATTCAAGGACAAAATGTTTCACAGATGCAGCAGGGCAGCTGCTGGTGGGATCTATTTCTGAAGCTAAGGACACAATCATGGCTTAGCTTGGACCTGTAATTAGTTCTGTCTCTGTGCCAATTCAACATATATAAAGGGATAAATATGGCAGGAGTTGACTCACATGAGTAGGTGACAAGAAAACACTTTGTTTAAAGAGGCATTTGGAGAAGAAATAGAGAGAATATCCTGTTAAAATAAGGAAGTGAGTGACCAACCACTGATGGACGAATGCCATGAACGCCAGGAGACCCTGCTGAACTCACTGCACTACACAGAGAAGAATGCAAGACTGAAAATCAGTATCTTCCACAGCAGGACCCCCAGTTTTTCCAGGAGAAGCCACCACAGCCACTGCCCAACCTCGAGCCGACACAATTTGACTCATTGTCACCAGACCTCGAGCACAGTCTGTGTTGTCATTGCTTCACTGCCTTCCTAATTTCAACCATCTGGCTTAGTAGATCCCTTCCTCCAACAGCTTTACATGAAACAACAGATGTTTTAAATCACCACTACAATCCAAAACCGAGCATCTTGTTCTGAGCTTAACCCTAAACTCCCTCACGACAAGAGGGAGTTCTCCCTGTTCCTTTACCTCAAGGAAAAGAAAAAAATTAACCTCTACTGGAGAAGTTAAACACAACCCTAAATATATAAACTCTAATATATTGGTTTTCAGTGTTTTTTGGACTTGGAGAATTGAGAATCTTTTAAGCTTAAAATAGCAACTCCTACATAGAAACATAATGGCTCTTCTATACCACTTGTCACACAGAACCACAGTGATCTTTGGCCTTTGCACTGATAAGGATCATTCCAGAATAACTGTAACTCCTGCATGTGAATGGAAACTACATGGGGGTAGAAGTACAGCAAACTTCTCGAGGGAAGCAGTGCCTGGCTGCAATCCCAGACATTCCAGTGTTCCAGTGAGGGAACAAACCCAACCAGAAGGGAGAACTGGAGGTAGGGATCATTTCACCACACACTACCAAGCCACACAACATTAAAGGCAGGTAATTAGAGAGCTTTTCAGTCAAAAAAAAAAAAAGAAGAAAAAGGGCATGGATGAATGTATGCACAGGAAAAAAATCCTTCCAGCCTGTCTTCCTCCAACTTCCTCCATCTACAGAGGGCACAGCTCTCCCCAGCCCTCATCTATGGCCTGATGTGCAGGAGATTAAATTTACAAGCAAATGCTGCTTCTCACCTTTGAACTTATTATTTTTTAAGTGAAATAGTCACAGAAGAGGTGCCTGTAGAGACGCTGACTTGAGTTTGGATTACAATTTCCATATGCATTAGGGAAGACTCAAAAAGCAAGGAAGCATCCAACTCTGCAAGTGTTTCCTACCAAGTTCTCAGCAGCAGCTTCCCAAACCCCCAAAATCCAACATTCCTCAGGAAAACCACAACAGTCCAGCAAGGATAAGCCGTCACCCCAAAGCACTGCATAATTTTGTCATGGCAGTTAGAAAACCTGGCCTGGTACACACTTTACCTTGAGGAAAATCCCCCTGGGGGTAATCAAAACGATGAGGATAAGGAGGCCTTTCAAAGGGATGGCGAGGTGGGAAATCATCCTGCATGAAGCGAGGTGGAAAGCGGTTGAAATTATGCGGATGCGGGGGCTGGTTGAATTGGGGATGTTGCTGATGTGGAGGAAATGGGCCTCTGAAGTGAGGTGGCCGCTGCATTCGAAATGGAGGTTCCCTTTGGCCCCCACCCCATGGAGGTTGTTCGTGCTGGTTGTTCCACGGTGCTTCAAACTGGTTGTTCCAAGAAGGATCAGGCTGGTTGTTCCAAGGGGTCTCTCGCTGGTTGTTCCAGCCTTGATCTCTCTGTTCGTTCCACATCCCTTCGTGGTTGTTGTTCCAGGGGGGACAGTGAGGTGGTCCCTGGTGGTGAAGAACAGAAGCCTGGTCATTAGGCTATGAAAATAAGGAACACAACAACAATAATGTACTTTTTGAAGTAAATACAGCCCATAGGCAACATGCAAAGTGAGAGGACATGTAAATACAGGGTCTGAACAACTGCAGCTTCAGGGAAAAGATGGAAAAAGACCAAACTGTTCCTGGACCAAAATGCTCTTGTTCATAGGAACAGTGTGATGGTTGACACACTGAAATATAATTAATACCTTGCCTTTATCTGGGCTCAGAATGACAAAGCTTGGCAGTTGAATCCGGATTTCTAACTTTCACAGCTTTTCACTGCACTTCCACAACCAAGACGGGCATCCCAGACCTCCACAACCAAGATGGTCAATCCAAACCTCAACCAAGCTGAGCATTCCAAACCTCCACAATCAAGAAAGTCAATCCACATCTCAACCAAGCTGGTCAACCCAAATCTCCACAACCAAGACAGTCATTCCAAACCTCCACAACCAAGACAGTCATTCCAAACCTCCACAACCAAGA